ATCACATAGTTGAAGTGAATTAGTTGGCCTTTTGCTTCAGCAAAGTTAAGCAGTCACCTCCATGGCCCCTTAACTGAAGCATTATCATTCCTCATGCAAGATGTATATGATCAGCACTGGAAAGATGGACAGCTTGGCTGAAATAGTTCTGTCTAGTATCAAGATACATATGTTTGCATCAGTGCAATCATGCTCAAACAGGAAGCTGGTGTTTTGCTGGTGATTTGAAATACTACCCTTGGAAGGATAGACTCCCCCCCCCCCTGCTTAGGCACAGCCTGCATGAAAATTAAAACCTTTTCTATCCAGTCTGAAACAAGAGTTACTTTGAAGTTAATTCAATAATTTCATTAGTTACCGTTCAATAAATGCGACAGATTCTTTCACTATCCTGGAGGCAGCATTTTCTAGGTTTATTGGTTGTTCGATAACTGTGTGATCTCTCATCAACATACAGTTCCAGTATCTTACAAATCCATGATTGATAAACCAGGAGATAAAAAATAATACACCACACAAAGTTATGAAGGCAATTGTTTTCCATTTCACAGGGAACAAAGCAGCCATCTTTATCAGAAGAAGAGTAAACACTAAGAGGGCAACCATCTGTGTGCAAAACCAATATGTAGCTTGCAGTTGGACATCCAGTTCGGGATCCTTATTAGCCTGGCATTCATTTATTAGGGTCAATGGTATACCATAGAAATAATCAAAACCATGGTTTAAAGGATGATGGCAGTGATCGTTACGGGATTCACAGTTCACACCTTGGTGCCATTTTCCTGAAAAGTTAAAAGTTGATAGCTGAACCATGATTTTTATTGTACTCTAACAGATCCTGATACCAGGTATGTTATAAAGATAACATGTCATCCAATTTAGTATTGCATGATATGAATGATGGAATATTCAGTTTCTTTCTTTCTTTCTTTCTTTCTTTCTTTCTTTCTTTCTTTCTTTCTTTCTTTCTTTCTTTCTTTCTTTCTTTCTTCTTTTTACACTAACTCAGTGAAAGAAGTACTGTACTAATAAACAGGATGTTTTCAGACAGTGTTTTAACCTGGTACCACATGACACCTCCAAGTTCACAGAATTTCTCAGAATTGCCACTTGAAACCCACCACTATTTTCCCAGCTTTTCTTCCATTTTTTTTTTCCTCCACAGAAAACTCAGCAAAAAAAGAAAAGGCAGGTTTTTTGTGGGTAAGCTTCCAACTGGAAGTAACCTAACAGTAGGAGAACATGCTGGAAAAGGGGCATTTTAAACTTCAGCATGGAGAGAAAAAGCCGGATTGGAAAAACAAGCCATGGGCTTCATTACAATCTTCCCTCCCCTCCACAGACACATGAGATTTAGCACCTAGGAACAGTAGATGAAACCCAAATGAGAAATAAAGCATCTATATATTGTACCTATAATGCCAGTGGCATAGCCTTTCTGCTGAAGCAACTTAGCAAATGTTGTTTCATTTGCAGGCAAGCCTCCCGAGGCACCGGTCCGAATGAAAACACGTGTGTTAATTTGAGACACCATACCTAAAATATAAATGGGAGAAAGAAATTAGTCGCATATTCAACTTAAGCTACCCACACGAAGGGAAGGAATGAACAGGCAGGATCTTGATTATTGTCTGGAAGCTGTAAGGTGACAGATAATTTTGAGGAGGATAATTTTGCTATGCATCAGAAGAGCAATACGGATATGAAAGGGTAACATTAACACCTCTCCCTGTTTGTTTGGGGATGCTGAAGACTTAGGGTATGTATTCTGACCAGTCATTAAAACTGGAATAATTTCTCCATATAGCCTTCAGCATGGTAACAGGAGTTCCTATGAGATCTTTTACCTGTTTCACATGACACATGAAGTCATATTGTGATTTGATTTAACGTGTCTGAATCCAGACCATAGGGCAGACTTTGGTAAAGGCACAATTTTTTAAACCACAGTCTACAACAACTGCTAGATTCTGAATAGTTTACCTAAATCACAATCCATTCCCACTCTGGATCAATGTTGACTTTATAGGCAGCCATTAGTCCCTTGGGAAATCAGTGTGTGATGCCCGGGTGGCCCTAAACTAGAACTGTTCTCATTATCTGCTTTGCTCCCATTTTGTTTTAATCCCCCTAGATAGACGAAGGCTCAGTTGCACCTCCAAGACCAACTGAGTCAACATGACTTTTTCTTTGTTGATGGGTTTAAAAAATGACCCAAACCCATGAAAGTTATTGAGATATTACCCAAAATGTAAACAGATTGCCAAATCCCAGCTGACCAAGGATTGCTGTACCACCTGCCAGATGTTCAAAGGAATATATTTTATTCATCAGAACACTAAGCAATGCTTAGTGTATCATGCAAACACAATCACTGCAGAATAACCTAAGCGAAAGACTTAATGGAGCCCCATGCTACATTGTGGCTGTTCAAGAACATTGCGACCTAAAGAATAGGAGCTCTGTACTTCTCTTAGGGATGTAAGGTGATGCCAACAGCATATCCTTCTGCAGGAGATTCTTTCTCACATTCATTACTTACTGCAAGAGATGCCAACCTGATCTGATGGGGTATCTGCCAGTCAGAAAAGCTGCTCTGCTGGGGGTACAAAGTGAGGCTGCAGCAATATGCTGAGTAAGTTTCACTCCTTCTTTTGCTAGCTGATCAACATTAGGAGTCCTGTGAGGAAAAATCAAGGGATGTCCTGTAATAGTATGATTAGGGGAAACTGTCATAATTCCAAACCAACAAACCTTTCTTTGGTACACATTCAGTCTTGGGAATTATACAGGTAAGAAATGACTGTTTTATAGTATGCACTCTTACTCTTCCAATATATTATAGAGAGCTAATACAATTAAGTGGATTATAATAACAAATTTATTAATCTTTAAGGTGTCACAAGTCATTCTGTTGTTATTGTTAGGGTTGTTAGTTTTCAGCTTTGTTTAGGTTCCAAAAGACTATTATTGAAGATATTCAAATCTTCAAACAGTGCCCAGAACTACTCCCCTAGGTCTGGGAAATTGAGGGCACATGAACATTCTTGGGTACTGTAAGATCCATAAATTAACTAATCTAGTCTAACCCAAAAGCTAAGTCAATATATGATAAAAATGCAAATTAGAAAGTACGATAATGGGCCCATTTGCTTTAAAGTGCAATTATTTTATTTCTTTCCTTATTCATGATGTTTGTTACCCATTCATTCCTGAAAATAAAAGTCCGCAATTATAATAGTTGTGTGTTGTTTTGCTTTACTTGCTTGTCTTTATCATGTTGTCTTATCTCCTATAAAAATTCTGTAGTGAACATTACAGTTTCAAACTTCCAATACAAGAGTTTTATACCAAACTCTTCAATACCCCTATAATGGGCTTGTGATGATATAAAGTGAAAGAGAAATGAACCAAACCACAGGGAACTTTGATTCCAGGAAGTTAGAAACCTCAAAGGCTTAACCGAGAGAACGATAAATAAAATTTCCAGTTGTCTGTTAGCAGCTGTTCTCCAGGTGATGGGTGTGGGAAGACAAGACAAAAATGAATGGCCAAGGAAATCAGCAGTAGCGCTAAGATAGTCTATGATGGTGTTTTTCAACCTTGGCAACTTTAAGATGTGTGGACTTCAACTCCCAGAATCCCTCAGCCAGCATGCTGGCTGGGGAATTCTGAGAGTTGAAGTCCCCACATCTTAAAGTTGCCAAGGTAGAAAAACACTGGTCTATGGCAAGCTCACCAATTATAGCATAAGAGTTCTCCGAAGGGGGAAAAAGGGTCTTTTTGAGGACAGCCCTAGAATACAGCCTTGCAAATCCATCAGTCTAATTACTAGACCTTTCAGGACAGGTATGACTGGGGAGTGGTTCAAGATGGTAGCTGCAACTGAACAATTGAAGCCCCCCCTGTTTTTAATGCGTTTTTAATGTTGTATATGTAATTCATGTAAAAGAAATGGGGCTTCAATCACACATTTGTGAATGACATCTTGACTTTTTAAACTCCCCCCTTCCTGGTTGGATTGCTGGCTGCCTGCATTGCAGCAGGACAAGATAATCAATTTTTGGGGACACTTGTGGCAGACAAAACATTGCCTATTTGATCTGGATGGTTTTCTTTAAAATAGAAGAGTTCCTTATGTATAACAGTTTTAAAGACACATTCATTTTTCTCATTTCTTATTTCCTCTTGTCCCCTTTCATTAGAAATATGGCATATTTTCCCTTATCTGTACTTTCACGGTTCCTAGAATCACAGAATAGCCCTGGCACAATTTAAACTTTACTCTTACCTGATGGTATTATTACCAAAGCATCCTAAATCTCCATATCCAAGATCATCTGCCATTATCAGCAAAATGTTGGGTCCTGACACATTTACTCCGTACGTTTGGGAAAATAAAGAGGAAACCAGCCAAGCAATTAGACTGCATCTACATAGACAGCAGCAAAACCATTTGGATTAGAAATTTATATGGTTGGGATATTTGTGATAGAAAATATTACAGGAAAGGCTTAGCTCAGTGGTACACCATATACAGGTAGTCCTCGACTTACGACAATTTGTTTAATGACCGTTTGAAATTACGACGGCGCTGAAAAAAGTTACTTATGACCAGCCCTGACACAACTGTCGCAGTGTCCCCACAATCATGTGATCCAAATTCAGGCCCTTGGCAACCAGCATCTATTTATGACTGTTGCAACATCCTGGGGTCAAGTGATCACCATTTGTGACCTTCCCAGGGGGCTTCCGAAAAGCAAAGTTAAAAGGGGAAACTGGATTTGCTTAATAACTATGTGATTTGCTTAACGACCACAGTGATTCACTTAAGAACCAGGGCAAAAAAAGTCATAGAATCAGGTGAGACTCACTTAATGACTACATCATTAGTTCTGGTCCCAATTGTGGTTGTAAGTCAAGGACTACCTGAACGTTGTGTTCAAAGCCTCCCTAGGATCCCAAGACAGGATCAGAAAAGTCCTGCGTGAAATCTGGAGACTGGCCATCACTGTAGACTATGTTAAATTAAGATTGACCAACAATCTGAATTGCCATAATGTAGCTTCCAGTGAATGCTTTTCCTTGCCTTTTTCTTGGGAATACTCACCCTTCATCCCTTTTTTCACAAACAGTAATCTTCTTTTTGGACATTTGCAATTATATATATGAAAAGGACAGCATCCATTCATGAATTAAAAAAAAAAGAAGTACATAGATGTTGAACTTTATGAGTTTACCTTTCATAATGCTGGCATGAACCATTGGTTAGGAACCAAATTAATGATTATTGAAACTGAATTTGAAACACACAATAATTGTCGGAAGAACTTGCATAAATGAACAAATCTCCTGTGATATAGATAGATGATAGATAGATAGATAGATAGATAGATAGATAGATAGATATGATTCAACATTCAGTGAAACTATTTGTGAGTCATACATTAAGAATGTTATTTTAAAAACTACTAGATAGTGATTGGTGCAAATATTTCAAGATTTCACCACACAATTGTAATATTCTCTCAGGGTTTAAAAGAAGGCAAACAATATAAAAACCATAAATTTCTCTTGTAATATTTATGCATATTTATATCTGTATCTACCTATCTTATTCCCTCACTCGACTTCAGTACTTGAACTGACAGAAAAGGCTTCTTCCATTTAATATTTTCAATCCTTCTTTCAAGACCATCTTTCCCCAGATTATGTTATGGTAAAATCTTCCAGTTTTGTTCAACTCCTGACGACTTCCTGGGCAGAATTTACTGCTGCTTTCTTCCAATCCAGCTTTGACTTCTGAGACTAGGCAACATTGGCTTGTACTGCCATCTAGTTGGGCCTAAATTAATTTAATGAGATATGTTCTTTTGTACTGGTTGATTATGTTTTTTTCTTTTTTTCTTTTTGTATGCTGCCAACAGTCACATAGTCTGAGTTGGGTAGCCATATAAATGCATAAATAAATAAAATTACTTGGAAAGGAAAGGTTTTCTATGGTCCATTATCAACAGTCTTGGGGCAACAATTACTGCACCGTTGATACAGCTTTCTATCCTAAAGCAGATGTACAAGGTTTACTGGGCCAAAGGCCACATCAACATTTGAATGGCATGTTGGGGGCTACACTGCAAAAGGGGAGGAGCCATACAAGATTTAAATAGTGGGAAACAAGCAAATAAATCAAGTATTAAATTAATCCCCATCCCTCACTTCTTGATTTCCAGCTCTAAAATACATTTAAAAAATATGTGTGTGTATGTGAAAAAACCAGGAATCTGGTAGCACCTTTTTTGATTAACACATTTTATTCAAAGGCATAAGCATCAAATCCTTTAATCAGATGTTCAGAGTGGCTAGACTAATGGAGGGTTTAAATTGGGGTAAAGTGGATGGTAAAAGGTAGGGGGAGAAGGAAGGGATGATAGATTGGTAGGGAGATGCAGGCCACATGTGAGAGAGATCACAAGTACCTTTCAATCAACAACTGTAACGTTTTAAAAATCCATTGTTTAGATCTTCTGAGATTGACTGAAACTTTTTTAATGTGTGCGTATCTCCTCTCATATACATATATTCTGCCCAGAGACACAAATTTTCTGTACAGGAGAAGCAACAGGTTTTATCACTGAAGTATCAAAGAATATGTTTTAAAGGGATATCTTTTTTGGATCTGCTCTCCTTAGCCACTCCTTTAAACAGGCAAAGATTTCTGATTCATTTAAGCAATTCTATTTTAAAAACCCCAGAGTTTAGCAGTGCCCACAAGATCTCATTCTGAGGAAAACAGTGTTGGAGGGTCATGCCACCTTTTGCAGGGTCATGACACACTAGAAAAGGCGCAGGCCTAGCTCACAGTGCCACAACACATTTGTCAGCCTAACCCACCTCTCTTGTCCCTGCTTTTGGATGCTACTGACACAATCACACGATGAATCACAGAATCATGTCCTTGTTAAAAGCATGTTTCTTACCTGACAGTCCTGTGGTTCAGTTGGCTAGGCATTATTCACTAGAGAGCATGAAATATTCAAGTAAGAGCAGCTCTCGGGGTTTATCCTTGATATCTATTGATTTTCTCCTTCATCTGATTGCTTAATAGCTTGCTAAGAACACTGGTAGGTGTAGCCACAACTCTGTTGTTAAAAATTGACCCGAGACTTTGAATAACAGTGTTCAAAGTTCATCGTGGAAAAGCTTCAAGCATATAGTTAAGGTTTTATGTTCTCTCCATTGCTGAGCCTCACACCAGCTTCACTTGTGACCATAGCTCATGACTTTGGAAATTGGCCCCCGTCTACTCATTTGTAAAGCAATAAATATGCAGTTATCTTGAATTCTATAATATATTCAGTTAGGTTAATAGACTCCTTTTATTATATATATATTTTATATAATAATATATATTCTATCTATCTATCTATCTATCTATCTATCTATCTATCTATCTATCTATCTATCT